CACAGGCTTCTGTGGTTTAGTCCACAGCACCACCACATCCCTAGACAGGATAGAAAATGTGGAGACAGAAATGGCCAAACAATTATACAAAGAAAATCTGTATAAATTGCTCTAGATAATATCTATTACGTGTTAAGACAGGGGTCTCAAACCCAATTTACCTGGGGGCTGCTGGAGGCAGACTCGGGTGAGGCTGGGCCGCATCAGATTTTCTGCCAAGTGGAGCAAGAGCCCAAGGAAGCCGCCCAGGACTTTCCTTAGCTCGGCTGGGGCTCTGAGGAGGAGGGGCGTGCGAGCCCTTATTGCTGGCCACGACCCCCTCCAGCTCCTTCTTCTCTACCATCACCACCACCAGCAGCAGGACAAAGAAGCAGAGAAGGGAGGGAGCACCGGCGACCGCGAGGGCATGACATAAAATAATAATAAAAAAAAACCCTCACAGAATGCTGTCTGTGTTTCGAGTGACTGGGAGAGACTTTTCTGGACTGGGGTGACTGTCTATGTATCCAGCACTTGTTCCTTCCAGCTTCTTTGAATACAAAGAGAGCCCTGCCTCTCTACTAAGTGTTCTTTCCCTCTCTTTAGTCTGTTGGTGGCAGTTGTTTGTTTGTTGTTGATCTCCTTGTTTGGTAGCTAAGTATGAGTGCAGTAAACAAAGCAGCATAAACAAGTCTGTAATTTCAAGCAACTGTAAAAAAAATCATTCTCCTACAAATGGCCCAAAGACCAATTGAGACCTAAAGTGCCAGTTAATGAGAGAGGGATAGACTCTGTGGAATTTGTACCTATTCTCCTCTGTGGATTTCTGTTCTTTTGTGTTGTAAAAGAGAACTTTACCAGAAATTCAAAACTCCGCAATATACTCTGTGTGCATTTTAAAACACAGAATTATTTTATACATACATATTATAGATTACCTTCCCTACCATATGCTTTGTTTTATTTGAAATGTAGGTCATCCATGTAATAAGCAAGGTGAATTTGGTTCAAACCACAAGAGTCAATAGTGGTTAGATGATAGTTTATTTTCACATTCAGACAACTGTACACTTTTCTATAAATAGATGTGGTACTGAAATATTTACATCTCTTCCCCCACCCCCCATTTCATAGAGCAGTTCATTCAACAGCCACACAGACCAAGTTATGGGGAACAAGCCGAATTATTTCTGAAGGCCTGTTGCCAAAAATGTTTGTCAATTCATTTGCTATTCCAACTTGAGTGAGAATAGTTAGATATTTTAGAATTTTATTACATGATGCACAGCCTCTCCTTCAAGTATTCTGGTGCATTTTATATTAGGGTCCAGTACAGTTGGTAGAAAATAAGACACCTGAAAATGCTAGTTTCTCAGTCAGCTTAAAAACAAAGAGCCAAATGGATACTGTACCTGACAGGGAGGCTTCATTGCACAGTAACACGGTTTTTGCAAAACTCTTTGATATACATGTACAGTTTGACAGAAGCAAACTAAAAAAGAGACCTGGAACAAGGATAATACAGTGCTATTGACAAATCTTTACATCCTCACAACCATTTTCATAACCAAATGTATTTATGACAATGTACAACAGAATTAGACTGTGCTGTGGATATTATGCTTTGTATGAGCATGGCATGTTTTAATGAACCACCACATCCTGGTGGCCTTGTTTGTTTTTGCCTTTCCTCATTTTATTCTATACCACTTACCATGAAGACTTGTTTCTATCACTATGAATATGTATTACTGAACTGAACAACTGGAATGTTAACAAAACAGTAGTCTCTTGTTTTAAAGATTATATACAGTACGTGCATGCCAGTCTTGAGAGGGTTGTCTATCCCTTTGCATCATGATTTCAGCCATTTCTCAGAAGACACAATGACTCACTATAGTTCTGCTTCCACTCTCAGAAAAACATTTTTCTGAAGAATGGACTGGAGAAGCTCAAGGACAAAATGGACCAAGCGGAAGCAATTTCCTGTTGATCAGCATGCTTAGGGAAAGCAAGAAAGCTAAAAATAGAAAAACTGAGCACCTCAGCAGCAATACATGATCCAAGCTACTGTGCTCATAAAAGAAAACCTGAAAGCAAGAGTCTGGAGTGTAAAAAAATATAAACAGTTTCATTGCAAACAAAAAGGGCTGAAATTAATGTAAGCCAATTTTGTAGAAAGCAAATCCTGAATGCCTGACAAGATCTGGCCATAGGTTGGTAGAAGGGGCATTGATATTGTGAAATGCTGTGGAAGAACAGCTTTAGCACAGGACCGAATAGTTACATCTGATTTTTATGAAGGGGATCTGCAGGGTCATACAAGCAAACAAGTTTGCATTAGGAATTGTTATATGAGGTCCTGCAACAGAAATGGGAGTATCACATGCCAATACGTTTTCCTGATAATGTTGTGGATCAACTGGAGACTGGACGGGGTGGTTTTGTTTTGTTTTCTGCTTCTTTCCCACGAACAGCAGCCACATAAGAGAAGAGACACAACACGGAGTAGCAGATCTCATGAGCCTAGAAGACAATAGAAAAGGTAGTAATGTGACACTAGATAATTCAGTGTTTCAGACTATATGGGCAGGGTATTAGACTTACCGTATTTTTTGCTCCATAAGATGCACTTTTCTCCCCCAAAATGTGTGGGGGGGAAGTCTGTGCATCTTATGGAGCGAAGGCAGCAATTTCATCCCCGCTAGCCCCGTGGCGGGGAGCGTCGCAAGGGTCTGGGTGAGCCTTCCAGGACCCTTGCAATGCTCCCCCCATCCCCCACAGGGCCAGCGCGGACGAAATCACCAGCTTCCAGGTGGGGGCAGCGTCGCAAGGGTCCTGGAAGGCTCACTCAGACCCTTGCGATGCTCCCTCCATCCCCCACGGGGCCAGCTTCTGGGAATCTTTTGAGGCTTGGGAAGCTTCAGAAGACTTCCAGAAGCAGGCGATTTCGCCCCCGCTGGCCCTGTGGGCGGTGGGGGGAGCGTCGCAAGGGTCCGAGTGAGCCTTCCAGGACACTTGCGATGCTCCCCCCACCCCTACACTGGGCCAGCGCGGGCAAAATCGCCACCTTCTGGGACTCTTTTGAGGATTGGGAAGCTTCAGAAGTGTCCCAGAAGGTGGCGATTTTGCCCCCTCTGACCCCCGGGGGGGCAGGGTGAGCCTCCAAAGGGTCCTAGGGTGTGTTCCATAAGATGGACCTCTTCATAAGGCTCATCAATTTTTAGGAGAAGAAAACAGATTATTTTTCCTGTTTTCTTCTCCTAAAAATTTGGTGTGTCTTATGGAGAGGTGCGTAATGTATAACTTAAAGAGCTGTTATTTCTTGGTGTGGGTGACTCATGAAATGCCTCCATGTATTCTGATAATGAACATACACTCTAACAAGTTTTAATAAATGCAGATGAAGAGAGATGTAAGATTTTTACCTTTTTTCATTTTATTCTATACCACTTACCATGTAAGATTTTTACATCACTGCAGACAACCAAAAAGTGCCCTTATATGCATTTAATCCAAACATACCTTCACTCTCCTCCTTCTTAAAATACTGATTCCACATGATACTAGTAAAAATTAACTATGAATGGAATTGATCATTTTTTTGGTAGACGGAGAATGATTAATTTGAATGCTATTTGCTGGAGCTCCTGAAGAAACCTGCGCTATGTAGGTTTGCAGAGGAAGTGAATAAATCTGTCCTCTGCAGGCTTCAAATGAGGCCAGTTTTAGAGGCCCCAACTCTCAGATATAACTGAAGCAACTGAACTAGCTCTAATTATCAGTAGGTGCATTCCCAAATACCAGGCTGCCCTCCTATTTTTAAGGAGAGAAAATAAAATAGAGCTACACATGAATGTTTCCATCACTCTTATCCGACCTGGTGCCATCTCAGTGCTTTGACTATAACCATCTTTAACCTAACTAACCTGTGACCAAGCTGGCTGAAGTCAATGCAAATCAAAATATTTGGAGGCCATCAGGTTGGAGAAATCTTGTTCAAATAAATAAGCTTAGTGTCTAAAGCCTGAGGAAAAGGAAAAGCTGGAACTAAACCAGAATGAAGAGAAGCAAGGTTTCCATTACAGTGAAACGGCTTGTCAAGGTACATCTTTTTATCCCACATAGGTCTTTGTCTTGAGCAGGTGACTTTACAAACCAAATGCCAGTTACACAATAGCTTTTGTCATTTTGCTCCATATCCCTATTTGGTCCCCCAGAGCTTTTGCACAGTAAAACATCTGGTGTGATTTTGTAGCTCAACATTACAGGATCTGGGACAGTAACATTTAAAACCTAAATGCCTAAATTTCATCTACAGACTCGGTATTAATATATAAATTCAAAATCGCAAGTGGAAGGTCTTTTTCTTATTTCTGGTAACAAGCCAAATGAGATTGTTAAAAATTAATCTTTGCCACATATCAAAGTCCAAACTGACAAACAATTTGCCTAAATATTTTTTTTAAATGAATAATTTCAAAAGTACTGAAAAATATGTATTTCAGTGTATTATATCTGACCTATGTAAATTTCAGTTTTCAGCAGCCTGGATCAGGAATTATTAATATCACTATACTGCCAGTAATCCTATGCCAGTGCACCAACCTTATGATGTTAAATAAGAAGACATGGAAGGCTGAGTGAAAGATTCCCACTTCTTTTTATTAGTTTAAAACACAGACGTTTATCATTTCAGAAAATGGAGCTGAAAAGTAAATGTTCACTTGTGCTTTTCTATATTGGACAGACTTGATTAAAAAGAAATATTTGACAAAAATCAAAATAATAATAAGTTACTTACCATTGGTGTCTTGTACTTGTGGATCACCACTTCTTTAGTTTCAGGAACTAAAACCGGACGGGCAAGAGACAAAACAAAGAGTTCAAAAAACGAGAGGAAAAAAAAGGAAAGGAATAGTACAATGTTCCCAAAGGTGAAGGTAAGGGAAATGAAAAAACAGCTGCAGCAAAACAGGACTATTACTAATCCCATTTCTGTCATCCAGTTATACTATGGCGGCTTGTTGAAGTTTACTATAAAATAAATAATCTAAAGCAAATTGGTGGTTAAAAATCACTAGTCACTTAGGCTATCTTAGAATCCCCTATGGCTTTCCTGATGTTGCTAATTCGTGTTTCACATAAAGCTTCAACAAATATTACATGTCCCAACATCTGCCATATGAACTTAAAGATTGTTCAACTATCTTCCTACCTGGCATCTCCTACTGGCTTCATTTCAGATTATTCTATGTACAACAATAGTGACAGCTTCCCAGCACAGTTACATATATCATCCATAATATATAAACTGGCAGAAATTTATTTAAATGCATAACGAAAAGGAAAGACCAGCAGAATATTCTTTCTAGTGAAATATCAAAATTTATCCTTAGAATTAAACTTAGAAAAAAGGAAACATAATACCTAATGACTGTTGTGCTTATTTCAGTTTCTAAGTTCTCATATCAAAACCTTGTGCATTGGAACAATCCCTTACTTGCAGTAATGAACAGTATCAATATTCTAAAGTGAAATTATTAAGGCACAACCTAGAATCCTTTCCTTATGAAGCAACTGTAACACATTATGGATTTTGTGTGTTATCAGAAAACATCTGAGAGAAAGAACCATAGATATTTATAACAAGGAAAATATGTATTAGTCATATAGAGTCAGTCTTAAATGATTATCACCTAATAAGAGAGAAAAATTAATAGGCAACCTGTGAATAAATGAATTCAGTAGGAATGTTGATTGGAGGGGAATGTTAAAAACAGACAGATCCTTTACAAAGTGAGAGAACAAAGGAGACCAAGGAAGGGTTAATACAACACAGTAACAAATGAGCAATACACATTGACTCCTAGTGACAGACCTCTAAGATACAAGTATGTGGCAGTAATGTGAATCCAGGTTGTTGTAGCATGAAGAGTTATGGAAATATCTAAGGCATACTCCATTTGTTTAAAACATGTACATGCCTCAGAGACACTAACCCATGCCACCAGAAAGTTTAAGAGGAAAAAGAGTGAGGTCTGTCTATAAACTATTCACTGGCATCACATTTGTCTGCTACCAACTTTACATCACCACACCCCAAAGGATTTTAACTAATGACACATTGTAATAGCATTAGTACAATAAACTGAAAGGCAGAAGGAACAGGAATCAGAAGTGAAGGGCAGAATTAAATAAGAGTTGCAAATTGTCTTATTTTTAAATACTGTCCTAGGAAGGGGACCAGCATACTCACTAAATCTACCTGCTCTCCAAATCAAGAACTATCCTATAGCCTCCTCAGCAGGAGAAATATATCTGAGAAACAACTCTGGAGGAGAATGATGGGGTTTCAGAAATAATAATAATAATA